GGGGACGCGGCGCCGCGGAGCCGCGGGCCCGGGACGGGGGCGTCTCCCCGGGGGGCTGGATTTTTCTTTCGCAAGTGGAAGCCTCTCCTTCCAGCGCACTGCTTGCGGCGCCTTCACGGAAGAGCCACGATGCCTCCACTCGAACAACTTGTCGGTGAAGTGTTGTTACTGGCCCCTACGAGAGTCTGTGGCGACCTGTCCAAGACGTTGCAGCCTCGGGGTTGTTGTGACCTATGGTAGTTCACGCCACGCATTGCTATACACCAGGACTGAGGGCACAGTGAGCCTTATAGGCAAGGTCCCTGCCACGGTGCAATGCAACTTACAGGCAGGTAAGGACACAGAAACTAAGGTGTACAAAGTGTCCAGAGTATGGTAGGAAAAAACAGGGTGCTCGGAGCGTAGGGTATTAGGGTCCCTTGGAAGAACCTATTTAAACGAGACAATCAGAGTAGGCTTCTCTGGGGTCAACTTAAAACGACCTGCACTTTGAGATGATGCTTGACATTAGAAGAGGGGAAGAGTGGCAAAGGAGAATCTCGCAGACCGATGGGGTTGCAAGTGCAAAGTCCCCAGGAAGCAAACACTTCCCTTGTTCGGGAAGTTGAAGTAAACTGGCAAAAACTTAAAAACCACACAGGGAATGGGATAAAATAAAGTTAGAAGAGTAAGCAAGCATCAGTCATTCAGAACCTTGTAGGCCAAGTTACAGAATTTGTATTATAGAATAAATGCCAAGGAAGCCATAAGTGGGATTTAGGCGATATCGACATGATACAGTTTACGTTTTAAAAAGGCCACCCTGTGCATCAATCTGATGTCGTATCTCTTGATGGGATGTAGCATGAAGTATACAATATCTATGATATATTCCAGGCAAAAATGTGTAACTTGAGTCTATCAAGCCTTTGCACCTAACAAACAGCTTATTAGAAATACAGGGGGTACAGGAGCAAACTAAATGATCCATAGGAAGTAACCAAACATCCAAGAGGTGGAATATTCTGCAGGACAACCGGCTCCATCTCTTCAACGATGGATCGTTATGAAAAAAGCCACTGCTGTATGAAAAAACAAAAAAATTTAGGGTACATAAGAGCAGATTGAATCCTAGTACGAAGAGGCTCCCTACAAAATGCACTTTCAGGACAGCTGAAGAAATTTCGATTTCGAGGGACTGAATATAAGATGCAAATGTATTGCCATGGAAAGATGGAGATCATTAACTGAAAAGAGCAAGTCACAGAACAGTATGTATGTTACGGTATCTCACTTTGATTACGAAATGCATATATGTGTATTTGTGTACTACAAAAAATATCTAGGATTATACTGGAAGGTTTTAGCAGTTTAATCTTTAGAAGTAGAAATGTATATTTTTATTTTCTTTATTGTTGTGTACCTTTTTTTTATAATGGTTGAGTTTTGCGAAGTTTTTTAAATTAATTTTTATATTGGAGTATAGCTTACACACAATGTTACATTCGTTTCAGGTGTACAGTATAGTGATTTTGACAAGTCTGCAAATTATGCTGTGCTCACCACAAGTGTCGCTAGCTACCATCTGTCACCATACAGTGCGATTATCATACCGTTGAGTCTGTCCCCTATGCTGTACCTTTTATCCCTGTGACTTATTCATTCCATAACTGGAAGCCTATGTCTCCTCTCCTGCCATGGCCCTTCACCCATTTTCCCCATCCCCCCCATCAGCTCTCTATATTTACGGGTTTTGCCCATCGTACATACTACTTTTGTTATAAAAGTTTACTTTACCACAATTTTCATTTATTGTTTTTTAACATTTATTTATTTTTGAGAGGCAGGAAGAGACAGAGCACAAATGGGGGACGGGCAGAAAGAGGGAGACACAGAATCAGAAACAGGTTCCTGGCTCTGAGCTGTCAGCACAGAGCCCGATAAGGGGCTAGAACCCACAAACCGTGAGATCAGGACCTGAGCCAAAGTCAGATGCTTAACCGACTGAGTCACCCAGGCGCCCCTACAATTTTCATCTTTTTAGTAAAAGATTCTAGGTTAAAATAAAACAACCACTTTGCTATGTAGACAATGCATTAAAGAAAGGCAAGGTGAAAGAGAGAAGTAAATCATGAGATGATTTCAGAAATCCAAGCAAGAGATCACGAAAGATAACATTAGCAGGAATGAGCTAAGTTGATGTGTTTTTGCGTTACAAATTGAAGAATTTACTGATAAACAGGATAGGAAGGTGAAGAGAAGGGAGTGATCAAGGATGACGCCTGGTTTTGGTGCCTGAACTTCTGAGTGGTCAGTAGAATCATTTACTGATACAAGGAAAACTGATGTATAATCCACTGATGGGGGAGGGGATCGGGAGTGTTTGTACCCAGCCGTTCAAGTGGAGTCAATAAATTGACAACTGGGTATATGGGATTAGAGCTTCTGGGAGAGGTCTTGTTTGGGAATCAGCAGTCAGCTGATTTTTAAAACCCTGGGACTATAAAGGAACGCGAAGAAATAGAAATAGGTCAGAAGCTATCAATTAGGAAGGATAGTATCAGATTAGGTGTATTTTTAAGACCGAAGGTGATAGATTATCTTGTAGGTTGGGTCGCAGAACTGATGCACTGGGGATTCAGAAGAGCCCGAGACGCAAAGTGCATGAAAAGAGGAGAGGAAAGGGCAACCATAACACGGAGGGTGGAAGAGGGGGGGATTAACCATCAGAAAGATGTGGGATAAATCATTTGTTGAGGCAGGTGGGAAATGAACACAGATGTAGTTAACTGCGCAGCATTGGTCAAGGGAAGATAAGGCAATCCTGTCTGATGGAACTTAGAATAAAATCTAAACTCCTTACCACAGCATGATCTATTTCTGCGTATCTCTTCAACTTCATATGTTGCCCCTTGTTCCTCATTTATTACTGCCCGGTCACATTGGTCTTATTTCAGTTCTCAAAATCACTAAGATCTGTCTTTCCTCATATGACTTACAACTTCCTCCCCACTTTCTTCATGTGTAGGTTGAAATGTCTCCTCCCCATTACTCCCCCCTTGTTACTGTCTAACTCAGCCATTGTTTATTTCCTTCAAAACACTTACCCTAACTAGCAAGTATTTTTGTTGCTGTTGATTTAATATTTGTCTGACTTCCCCACTAGAATATAAGCTCTGTAAGGGCAAAAATGTTTTGTTTTGTTTTTTAAGTACTGTTATATCCAGCACTAGGCACATGGTAGGCACTCAGTAAATATTTTTGAGTGAGTAAATAAGTTTCAGTGCTTGTAAAAAAAAATTTAGATTTCTCCTATCAAAATGACAACCTTTCTCAATAAGAGGTGCCCTCATTAATTTGATAATAAGCCAGTGTAGTTAGTTAGGCAATAACCATTAATTAAGCAGTAGGCCAGTGGCCAAAGAAGGATGGCATATGCTTGTGTTCTGATAATAACGAATTTCATAACTGTCTCTTGTGACAAAATTCAACAACTAGCCTCCTCGGGGATGTCTGTCTCCTCTTGTTCACTCCTTCTCATCATCCTCCCTGTACCAGGCGATCTTCTAGAGCTCATTCAAGACAGCTCAAGTTGCCTCCTACAGGAAGCCCTCCTGCATCTCCCTACGCCCCACCTCCCCACAGCCCCCGATTTCCCTTTGGCTCGGGCACACAGCATAGGTACTCGGACAGGCTGCTATTTCCCAGCCTCTCCCCAGACCAAAGCTCCAGGGGTGGTGGTGGTCCTCATACTCTTATTTTCTGTTTGCCACGGGGCCTGTGCTGTGCCTGGCACAGAGCCTGCGGTGAGTGCAGTGTTCGGGGAAGTGGCCTGAATTTCTCCCTTTCCAGTGTACTCCTCCATTCCTCTTTTCCAGCTTTCATCCATTTCTTTTCCTCCTCCTCCCCCCTGCTCTTCTAGTGTCATTTCAAAACATTTCTCTTTTCTGTCTTCAGAGCATAACATGCCTTCTCTAGAAAATTTGGCACATTTGAAGAATCACATGTAAAATAAAACGCTGCGATTCCACAACCTGGATGTTTTCTTTAAGCAAAGTTCTTTGCACTTCCTTCTCTCTGCACATATATTTTCTTTGGATAATTCTCATGTCTCTGTGTGTGCAATTTTGTATCTCATTATTTTTTTCTTTTCTTCATATTCTGTCAAGCATGTTCACACATCAATAAAGTTGCTTTGTAAACACTGAAAAACAATTCCAGAATCTCAGTATCTTAACATTGTAAACTCTCCAGGGTCGCTGTCCTCCAAGTAGCGTCTTAGTGATCCAGACTACTTTGATCTTATAACTCAATTATGTCAACATGAGACACCACTTTCAAAGGGGAAGAGGAAATCTATGGCATCACACAGCAGTTTCTCACTGCCTCAGCCGTCACTTCCACTCACATTTCACTGGCTAGAACCTCTCACCTGGCCCCATCAAAATGCAGTGGGACTGGGAAGGATAGTCTTCTTGGTGCCCAGGAAGGAAGGGAGGGCTGGATGTTAAGGAGCACCGGTGATGCATCCCAAGGATGAGTTTCACTGCTTCCGAACTTGCTAGTGGCAACATTGATATTCCATCTGTGTAATGAAACTCCATAAAATACATTCTTAGAGTATAGTAGCCTCAGTGTAATGTTTTGGGGGGATGTTAAATCAGGAGATTTTTCTCCCTGATAATCTATAGTTCTGGTGGGCCCATCGTCACCCCACCGATTGAACCAGTGGAAATACTTGCATCTTTGGAAGGAGCAAACCCGATGAAAACAGGTTTGAATTTCAAAATAAGAGTTTTTGAAGTCCATATTGAGACTATAGCCTGAAAGTAAGCACTTGTTATTTTGGGAGGAGTCCAGCTTTGTTTGGGAGGAAAGAGGCTGATATAAACCAAGCCCATAAGGCCACAAAAGAGAGTGTTTACAATGAATGAATGAAAGAGTAAATAGGACAAGGGTTTGGTGTAAGGAAAGTTCGTGCACTGCAAGAAAGAGAAGCCCTTTGGGGGCTGAGAGGAAGAGTGAGAGGGTAAAGGGCAGAAGGTAAACGAGATGTCATTACTTCCTTACTCCACACTCTAGAGTGTTGCGTAGGTAAGGGACAGGGGCCTCAAGGATAGGAGAGAAGTAGAAACAAACAGACGATGAAATCAAGAGCAGCAAGGATGTCACGTTACGTCTCCTGTGTAAGGAATGGAAAGCAGAAAATGGTGTGGGGCAGGAGCACTGGTTTTTTTTGCAACATGTAATAGAGAATATTTGTGTTTTTAATCTG